ACTCTGTCGTCACAGACAATTTTTCTCCTCAGAAACCATCCTGTACATTTATAAATCTACCATTCGTCAGTGCATTGGATATTGTTGCCATATGTGGTCTGGTGCACCCGTTATATATCTCGAGATTCTCGACAAAATTCAAAGAAGGATTCACTTTCCCATCGCTGTGACGTGGCTTCCCTCTGTCTTTTCTATAAATATTTTCTGTGGCAGCTGTTCTAATGAACTCTCAAGCGTACTAGATACTGTCTATTAGGTTCCATCGTTTATATACAGCGTATCGTATATATATATATATATATATATATATATATATATATATATTTCATTAAATAATATAGACAAGTGTTATCTATTTATTTTATGTAAATTCTTTTCATAACGTCTGATAAGCTTAATAACATTATCATTAAACGGAGAAAGAAAATGACATTAAAAAATATATTGATACATATTTTTTAATCTTATCTAAGCTTACATAAGCCATTATCAAAGATGACAATTACAGTACAATATATTAAGCAATACACGGACAAGAATGTGATGATAGTCTGTTTCTGTTTACATTGATGATTTCCAAGCAACGACAAACTCGTGCATATAAGACGCTGGAAGCGAAAATCGCACCGCAGCTCATGACGTCACACATGACCACGCGAGTGTGAATTCGAGAAGTATTAATTATGGGAAGCCGTTGGCATAAACCAATGGCCTCTGTTACCAATTATAGATATTTAAGAATATTTGTGGAGATTTCATAATTTATTTTGTTAGGTTAGGTTTCAACTGTTTTATGTATATAGCTTCAAGAATTTTTAGTTTTTGTTTATTGTTTTTATGTTTAGGTATAATTGCCAGGAAATGCCAGGTCAGGATCGATAACATAACAAATCCTTCTTTGAATTTTGTCGAGAATCTCGAGATATATAACGGGTGCACCAGACCACATATGGCAACAATATCCAATGCACGGACGAATGGTAATTTTATAAATGTACAAGATGGATTCTGAGGAGAGGAATTGTCTGGCACGAAAGAGTGAACCAACTTTCCTTACAGCAATTCTTTCAATATAATTCTGTTTTAATTTTGTCGAGAGATATACCCGCAGCACCAGACCAAATTTAGCAGCAATATTCAAACAGATTATCATCACATTCTTGTCCGTGTATTGCTTAATATATTGTACTGTATTTGTCATCTTTGATAATGACTTATGTAAGCCGAAAGCTTAGATTGGATTAAAAAATATGTATCAATATTGTGATTTTCTTTCTTCGTTTAATGATAATGTTATTAAACTTATCAGACGTTATGAAAAGAATTTACATAAAATAAATAGACAAAAATTGTCTATATTATTTAATGAAACATGTATGAATGAAAAAATGTTGCCTAAATACACAATAATATATATATATATATATATATATATATATATATATATGAAAATTTCTCCGATTTAATCGGTAGAGAAGACAATATTTATGAATAAAAATGACAATAGGAAAACTGGTAATTGCTGACGCGTATTCGTATTTTGCTTTTGATAAAATCCACATTGGACGAAACGCGTCAGCAATTACCAGTTTTCCTATTGTCATTTTTATTCATAAATAAATATATATATATATATATATATATATATATATATATATATATATATATATATATATATCCGATCAGTACAATCTAAATGAAATTGGCTAGATTATTATGTACCCAAATGAAGCAAATGAATAATTTTATTAGGTATAATACACACGCCTAACGAGAAGACCCACGTTATATCTCTCTGACCATATAGCTCAATAAGGTCTCATTTAAATACATATGTAACCTACCAACTCTATCCGCAACATACTCGTTGACAATCTCATCTACATGTAAAAAAGACTAAAAGTAATGGAATCATCATACTTATTATAAAACCCAGGTTGTGTGTGTGTGTGTGTCTGTTCGTTTATATATTGGATCGGATTTCTTACATTTTTCAACCGATTTCAACAAAACTTCACAGGACTACGTAAAATTATCTTGCGGTGGTTCTGATAGCGCCAAAAATTGGAAAACCAAAATTGTTTTTGCACGAAATCAATTTGAAAACACGAAAAGAGGCATCGCTGTCGCGAGAATGAAAGGGGGACAACTCATATCGAATTATACTTATAAAACCCAGGTTGTTTGTGTGTGTGTGTCTGTGTTTGTTTATATATGGGATCGGATTTCCTACATTTTTCAACCGATTTCAACAAAACTTCACTTTTTTTTGGCAGGTAGTGTTTCTTATTGTCTTGCACACTTTTTTCTTTATTTTTACATTCAGAATGCTTTAGAAATTCCATTTACAAGACAATTGTTTATAATAAAATTCTATTCAATCGGTCGATTCATAACGATTGAAAACAATGTTTTTGTTTGAGTTTGGGTTTGACCAATTCATAAAAAAAAAAAACTAATTAAGACATGCGTGTCCGTCAACCTTAAACAATAATCTTTGTCAATTTTATTTTTCAGTCTTTATGATGGTCGATACTTGATCTATCTCTTACTGTTACATCCCCGGACAACGCCGGGCTCTACTGCTAGTTATTAATAAAAATGAAAAAGTCAGCACTCAATAACATCAACTATGAACACGACTATAATATGATGACCGTATTTGGAAACTAAAACATTCCTATAACTCTAGATATATACATAAACCAATGCATGCATTGAATTAAAAGTAAATATAAAATTCATCTTTGATTATGGCTAAAAGTACAGCCGAAAGCGCTCGGAATTATAGAACATTTGTACAGTTTCTACATAATTTATATCCAGGAAAGAATGAAGTTATAAGAACACATGAGAAATTAAATAAAAAAACTACATCAGTCATTTTTTAATGAACTTGCATAAAAGAGGGATTGCTGCACAAATGCACAATTATCTCTCTCTCCATATATATATATATATATATATATATATATATATATATTATAAATTGATTTAAAATATGTTTTTTTTTCGCTACACAGTTCTAACCATGTTTCAAAAATGGAAGCTAAAAGCCCCGAATTTCATTTTTTCTCAAGCGAATTTCATCACAAAATTAAATTCGGGGCTTTTAGCTTCCATTTTTGAAACATAGTTAGAACTGTGTAACGAAAAAAACATTTTAAATAAATTAATTTATAATATTAATGCTCTGTAAATTTACATTGAGCACTATTTTGTAAAAATAAAATATCTATAAGAACACCGAATTATATATCTTACTGTTCTTTCTTTTTATTTATATACATACATACATATATATATATATATATATATATATATATATATATATATATATATATATATATATATATATTGTTCAAATCGTGTAACAGAAAAATCGTCCAATTGTTAGATTAAACTTTAAACTGTTGTATCTTAGAAATGATTAAAGATATCTTACTGGAATTCATCGAGTTTTTTTATATCACTATTGGGCTCTACTTTAAACAATAAGAATGTATTCAGCTCTAAGTTGAAATGATGATCCCTCTTCCTGTTGTGATCACTTGATTCAGTTTTCCTCGCTACTGTTCCCTCTTTTTTAAACTTTTTCCCCGTTCTCTTGATGGTTCTTGAATTGACTTCGTAGATAGAAGCCAGAATATGGATGTTAGTACCATTACTGAAGGCCGGAATGATTTTTTCCTCTCACCATTGCTCATTTAAGAAGACATAGTGTGGCTGACACAAAACGATTTTACCCTGTTCTCTGTGTAGCTAAATAACTCAGCAAGTTTTGCAGTGATTCTTACGACAAATGGTGTCAAGATGGCGAAATGTCTTATCTGAAAACCGGCCAAAAAGAAACTCAATTAGTTTAGTGTTTTTTTTTTTGTTTTTGTTTTTTAGATATTAAACATTTTGTGGGATGGACAATTATCCCAATGCTGTTACACGATTTGGGCAATTTTGCTGTTACCACCCGTTGTATATTGTGCATTTAGGCAGAAAGAATTCTTTCAAACATGTTTTATGTTAACGATCAATTTACCAAAGATCATTTTAATTTATTTTATTTTTGTTGCCGAGTAGATTCAAATGGGGATACATTATGTTTCTAAGGTTTGTGTTTTTTTTGTGTGTTTAATTTTCTATTTAATGTTAGCATATAAAAAAAAAATTACATCCCCCAAGTCAAATTAGAACTCTGCTTCCTGATTTTATTTGCATCCACCGGTGACTGTCATGTGACCAGCTTCTTGTCTGATTAGCTGGACCAAATTTAATGACTCGTCCAATTCCAGGAATTTTATGTCTGTTTACTTTTCTAGTTTTTGGTTAATTCCGACGTTTTGCTGGAATCAATTTTAACTTACCCAACGTGACGTCATTTCCACTCAAAATGAATTTTAATTAAGAATTTTTAATAATGTGTGTTTTAATTTTTTACATACACACTTCGATATAAGATCGCCTATGCTTAAAGATAATGTTGTCTTCTCTTCTTGACAGCTTCAAGAATTTTAAGTAATTCTTTGCATTGAGTTTTATATGATATTTTGGTTTGTTTTGTTTTATGGCATATTAACACATCAATGCCTTATTTAATGTCGACAAAATTTTTACAATAGATTCGTATGCTTAGAATATCTATTCCCTGTAAGAAAAGAATTTGTAGATCAGGTTTGTTAGTTCGTTGGGCCGATGTATGCGTTGAGAGATAAACACGAGAGATACCCACAAAAAACATAGCCGACTAGGGATATGAGTCCACGTAAAGAAATTACAAGAAACGGCAAGAGCTAATGTATATATATATATATATATATATATATATATATATATATATACAAACAAATGATAATGTATTAACACCAAAGGTATACAAGCGACAAGGACAGTAATGTGTGTATGAAAACTGTTTGGTCCAAAGTGAGTGAATATACGTACTTACGTGTGTGTGTGTGTTCATTAGTTGCCCAAAGGGAACGCGTTCTACGCGATAGGTTACATGTTCACGAATAAGCCGTTAGATGTTGACGCATATGTGGATAAGCGGTTACATGTTGAAGAATAAGCGGATAAGTGGTTATATCTTGACGAATAAGCGGATAAGCGGTTACATGTTGTCGAATAAGCGGATAAGCGGTTACATGTTGACGCATAAGCGGATAAGCGGTTACATGTTGACGCATAAGCGGATAAGCGGTTAAATGTTGATGAATAAGCGGATAAGCGGTTAAATGTTGAAGAATAAGCGGATAAGCGGTTACATGATGACGAATAAGCGGATAAGCGGTTACATGTTGACGCATAAGTGGATAAGCGGTTAAATGTTGATGAATAAGCGGATAAGCGGTTATATCTTGACGAATAAGCGGATAAGCGGTTACATGTTGTCGAATAAGCGGATAAGCGGTTATATGTTGACGCATAAGCGGATAAGCGGTTAAATGTTGATGAATAAGCGGATAAGCGGTTAAATGTTGTCGAATAAGCGGATAAGCGGTTACATGTTGACGCATAAGCGGATAAGCGGTTACATGTTGAAGAATGAGCGGATAAGCGGTTACATCTTGACGAATAAGCGGATAAGCGGTTACATGTTGACGCAT